TATTCGTTAAAGCATGCTTTGCATACAGGAAGACTTTCGTATCGGCTTCTTCTTGGTGGTTCTACGCCAGATTGTAGAACCCCAGGTTGCCGACTGCCAGATTTTCGAGTTCACTTTGCCAAAACACAGTTTGCCGAATGCCAGTTTGCTGAATCAAAAACTACGAATCCCAGTTTGTTGAAACCCAGTTTGCGCTGAAACCCACTTTGTCGAAAATAAAATTAAAACATTAACCACAGCATAACATTCATGTTGGAGCACTCTCTTACTATGTATTCGTATAAGAAATAGCGGCTTATTGTAGTTAAATGATTCTTTTTGTTTTAATCTGTAAATCAATTGGCTATCAGAAAATAAAATTCAATTTAATAGGCCTCGCAGTTAAAACGTTTCATTAGCATACCTATGATAAATACATAAATTTATTTTTAAAAAAATAATAATAAAGGAAATATACAAATTAATAATAATCTATAATTATAATACACACATGCGATACGATGCTTATCCTTAATTTCATTTCATTTTATTTCTAATTTTAACTGATAGCCAACCTGGTTGTCGAAATCCCAGTTTGCAGAAACTCAGTTTGCCGAAACCCAGAATGCCCAATCCATTTCACTGAAATCATGAAATCCTAGTTTCCCAAAACTCTGTTTTCCGAAACCCAGTCCAAATCTCTGTGTTACAAAAAAGGAAGGAGCTTCATTTGTGTACAAATTAAAAGGAAAAATATTTGAAGACAATAAAGCTGTAGAAAACACACTTGAAAGCATGGCTATCAGTTAAAATTAGAAATAAAATGAAATGAAATTAAGGATAAGCATCGTATCGCATGTGTGTATTATAATTGTAGATTATTATTAATTTGTATTTCCTTTATTATTATTTTTTTTTTAATAAATTTATGTATTTATCATAGGTATGCTAATGAAACGTTTTAACTTTTAATCTGTAAATCAATTGGCTATCAGAAAATAAAATTCAATTTAATAGTAATCTAATAATAATCTACAATTATAATACACACATGCGATACGATGCTTATCCTTAATTTCATTTCATTTTATTTCTAATTTTAACTGATAGCCATGCTTTCAAGTGTGTTTTCTACAGCTTTATTGTCTTCTTCCTTTTAAATACACAGTATGCTGTACTTTTGTAACACGGAGATTTGGACTGGGTTTCGGAAAACAGAGTTTTGGGAAACTAGGATTTCATGATTTCAGTGAAATGGATTGGGCATTCTGGGTTTCGGCAAACTGAGTTTCTGCAAACTGGGATTTCGACAACCAGGTTGGATACCTTCTTAAATACTATTGCTATCGGCAAGAATGCATCCTTGTCACTGAAAGAGATTTTTTATTAGTTCGTAGCAGCCAAGAAAAGCAGACTCGAAAGTCGTCCTGCATGCAATGCATGCTTTAAGGAATTACAACCAATACATAAATATCAACCGTTCCATTCTGGAGACATCGATATTGCAGTCGTTGCTACTGTATATCTTATTTTACGACAACAGAGAGAGAGTCATTCTAGACACTAACACTGGAATACCGAAAGTTGTTTAAATTAAGTGACATTAACTTTCACCAGCGAAGAAATTATCCCTTATTGGATCTCGTGCTTCTGTAGTCAAAGGCAAAGTTTTGTTGACACTTTCTGCAACTTTAACGTTTTAGATGTTCTGTCACAAAAGATGTCTGAAGAACTTGAAGACTGCGGCATGGAGTTAAGGGGAAAAATGTAAATCAAGCAAGATGTGAAATGTTCAATAGAGGCAACAAGATCACAGACATATCATTGCTACCACCATGTTAGCAAGCAGACCCTTGAGCACTTGAGCAAATTTAATCGCTAAAATGGAAATTAAGCAGACGTAAATGATTTGGTCAATAAAAAAAGTATTCACAAAAGATGGAATGATCAAATGAAGCAAAAAATGATTGAGACAGTGATGCCCATGGACGTCCAAGAACTGTTTATAATAAAGACGAAGACTTTCAGATTTAGTACAAGAAAATTGGCGTAAAATTTAGTGAAAGGTTGACAAAACAGAATAGATAAAAATATGATAAAAATCGTAATGTCATCGTAATATGTCATATTTATGAACTTCTTACTAGATCGCCACGAAGGTTTTTAATACTTAGCAACCAATGCATGTATTACTTTATAATATAATGCTAATATTTTATAAAAGTGGCCGCCATCTTGGATTTGAAATGGTCACCATGTAAACAATATATTTATCTATATCTCCGCTTCTAAACCAGTTGAAATTATAATTCTAATGTCCAAAAAAATGTTTTCATGGTCAAGAAATACCATCATACAATTTTTGACTCCGTCAGATTGTCATAAATAGGTCATTTAGGGTCATTTAAGGTCTTTCAAGGTCATTACAGGTAAAATATTGTATGGTATCTTAATAACGGAGGCCTAAATGTCGTGTTTTACATCAGAAACATATTCAACCTCTTGGAATTAAGTTTTTTGATAGCAACTACAGTATTTTATTCAATGTCATTTTGGCGGCCATCTTGGATTTCAAGATGGCTACCATGCATAACCTACCGGTATATTTTTTTTAATATTTCAGCTTGTAAAACATTTCAAATTAGAATCCTGATGCCTAAAATTATGATAGATCGCTGAATAAAATGTAAAATATTTAAGATTTTATATTTAGTACCGGTACCGTACATTCTCAAATGTTATGTAAATCTCATATATCCTAAAATTACGTTATATTCATCCACCGAAGTAGAAAGATTAACTTAATAATTCTGATATGTTTCATGTTGAATGGTTTTAATGATAGTCCTATTATCCAATCCAATCAGAACATTTGTAAAGCGCCTTTCTTTGCAGATACGAAGCGCTGCACCCCACATATTTAGGCACCTCACAACATTATTAT